GCTCGGGGCCCTCCCCTCCCGGCCCATTCAGCCGCAGAAACGTTTCTTGAGCACCTACTGGGTGCGGGCGCCGAGACCACTGGAAAGGACACCCAGACTCAGCGTCGGTCCTCAGGAGCGCACTCTGGGCTACTGGGGAGGGCACACGTAGCTGGACAGCGACCGTGTGTGTAGGGTTGCGGAATGGGACAGAGCGCACCAGGCCTACCTCCCTCGGAGGGAGGTGGGGTCAGCCATGTAGGCCTACCAGCTTGTTGGGGACAGGGACTGGGTTTGGGGTTCCCGGTATAGGTGGGGCACGAGCGGGAGCTGGTGACTTTTGATGAAAAAAAGAAGGAAGGAAGGAAGGAAGGAAGGAAGGGAATACCTGAGAAAGAAATAGCCACAGACTAAATGTATAAAATGATAAGATATTCTTAAACATGAGTCACAACATGAGTTTAAACAAATAGAAATTTTCTTCCTTCTTAAGTTGAAAGACATAACATTAAATCTATGTTAATTTTCCCTAAATGAATTTATAAATTTCCATTAAAAACATCAGCATATATTTTCACAAGCTAGACAAGTTCATTATAAAGTTCATTTGGAAGAACCAAGAAATAACAATAACCAGAAAAAAATCTGAAAAAAGAAGAGCAATAAGTGAGGCTGGTCCTATCAGATATGAAAATGGGTTTCCCCCAGGGCTCTGGAGACAGCATACACTATCCTTAAGGTGTTTCAGGCCAGGTAGGAATGGGGTGACCTTGGCATGCCCTCATGGGTCAGTGATTGGCACCACCACGCCTGGTCTGCTCTTCCCCAGCCAGCAGCAGAAAGTTTCACTGCAGGTGGGTGACCACTTGTCTCACCTCTGGCTGGGGCATGATCTGGGGAAAGCGATGGAAACTTCTATCTATAAAGTGCTTAGATCAGGGCCTGGTGCATGATTGGTGCCACACATGACTGATCCTTATTATTTAAGCAACAGTCATAGACCCTCTGTACCCAAGGGCCTGGGGACCCTGAGCCGCTTAAGACAAAGTCACTACCTTGAGTGGCCCACGCCTAGAACGGGAGGCAGGCGGGGCATCAGTGTGATAAGAGCTACAACAAAGGTGGGGGCCTGCAGTAGGATGGTGGGGGCCTGCAGCAGGACGGTGACAGTGAGTTTCCACCTCAATTCTGTATTTATTCCTGGCATCCGGAGTGCTCTGCTATCCAGGCCAGTGAACCCTAAGCATCACCCCCGGCACGGGCTCCCCAACCCACCTCACCCTCTGTCACAGAGGACTGCGACGCCAAGAGCACCCCTTCTTCTTTGCCTCCATACCTGGCATGTGCTGTTCCCCCAGTTTAGAAGACCTTTCCCCTCCCCCGTCCGTGTCTCACTTTTTCCTCAAGACTCTGGACTCTCTTCTTAGAAGTGTTTCCTAAACCCCCCAACCTGGGTGAGGCCCCTCAGATCTTGGACTGAGTGTTTTCATTGAAGTTCAAAGCAAAAAGGCGCAGAAGGAGTCTTTGGGTTTCACATTCCTCCCCCCCTGCCCCCCCCCCGCCCCCACGCAGGTCATGACATCATCTGCTTGGAATTCAAAGATGGGCGTGTGAAAAAGCCCTCAGCCCCCTTTCAATTTCACTGTGGCATAAAAAGGCAGCTAGGGCAGGAGTCACTGCCCCCTCCTCCCTGGAGGTAGAGCCCAGACCCCTGGTGGTCTTCCAGGCTCACCCTGGGCCATCCAGGAGGCTGAATGGTGCCTCACCTGGTTGGAGGGAACGTTCCAGGACTTCCTCACCCTTCAGGTGCCCCTTCCTCCCCGAAACTGCCACAGGGCTGGGCAGTGACTTGGCACTGGGCTGGGTGTGTAGCCACTGAGCAGGGCTCTCTGCCCCAAGGAGTGGTGGGGAGGGGCCCCATCCCCCAACGATCAGCTGTCAGCCTCGTTCGTCATCCCCTATCCTCCCCACGGCTGCTGCCATCAGGCTTTGGGTGGCAACGCTGGGAAGCAGGTGGGGCCAGACTGGGGGTGGAGGGAGCCGAGAGTCAGGCAGAAGCATTTGGCCTTGGTTGCTATAGGGATAATCACTCTAATGACACACTTGATGTGTGTCATGCTTTACAGTTTCACTGAACATTTCCTAATAATAACATCGCCCATTAATGGATCGCTAACTCTGTGCGGCCCCTGTCCCATAACAGGTGGGGATTGTTAGCCCCATTTCTCAGATGAAAAACCTGAGGCTCAGGCAGATTAAGTTCTTGTCTCAGATCCACAGCTAGTAAGAGGCAGAATCTGAATTTGAACCCAGGTCTGGCCACAAAGCCGTACTCTCCTGACATCACATCTCACGTGCGTTATTTCATTCAAGCCTTCAGACTGCGAGCTGGGCAGAGCAGGTGACCTGCTTCCCCCAATCTGCAGATTTGGAAACTGAGGCTCACAGAAAGGCAGTGGCTAGCCTCAGTGGCTGGCAAGACACAGAGCCAGGAGTTGAACCCAGATCTACTGATGTTAAACTCTGGCCTCACCCCCACTCTACGCTCATGTTTCTGCCCTGGTTGACAAGGAATTTCCCCAAATCTCAGACATTGCTGAGCCCTGGATAGCACTGTTTTTCTAAAGTTTATTTTGGATTGGGGAGGTGGCCCGGGTCATAGTTTGCTTGGCCAGGGTATTGTTTACTGTTATACTGTTTCCTGTGGCTGCCGTTTACTACAAGCCTGTGGGTGACAACCCCTTGAAGCCCCCCTGGCCCAAGCCCAGAGTCCTTCAGGAACCCCGCATGGTGGGTCACTGCCCCAAAGACCCCAGAACAGCAGAGGTGGCCAGGTTGGCCACCCCGTGGCTCAGGATGTTATGTCCAATTGACTGCCTGACTGGACAGATGGGAAGGGAAGGAAGATGAGGGAGCAGGAGAGAGAGGAAGGAAAGAAGGAAGATGTGCTGACTTGAAGAAATGAATAAAGGAACAAACGATTGCCTGGATGAGTGAATACAGCGCGTGACCTCAGTGCAGGATCAGCAGACAGGGGATCACCCTCCAGCCTCCATTTGCTCCAAGGCTCCCCTCCCTGGCCCTGGCCCCACTGCCCCATTTTCTGACACCCCACCTCCAAACTGCCTGAGACTGGGGAATCCGCTGATGTTCCGTCGGAGTCTCTACTGCCCCCGTGTGGCTGCTCTGCTCCCTGCATGGCCATCACCCAGGGCTGCCGCTCTGCTTGGGGTACTTCTCTTGGGCTGTGGGGTGTTTATGGATGGCTAAAAGGGAGGGAAAGTGGGTGCCAGGGGGTGGAACTTCAGAGTCTGGTCCTGCCCTTGAGATGCCTTGGCTGGGGACACAAGCCCTTTGCTCCTCAAGCCTGTGTTCCCTCTCTCCCTTTCATCCCAAGCACCAGATCCCAAGAGCCGGAACTCTAGTCAAAGCCTTGACCTCACGTTCACTGAGCACCTGTTGTGAGGCCAGACGCCTGGCATGTGCCATTTCATTCTATCCTATGAAGTGTGTATAATTCTTATCCTCTGACGATTGAGGAAACTGAAGCCCAAGGAGGACAGGTCGCTCGCCCCAGATCCCACAGCTGGGTCTCTAGAGCCCCTACACTCAGAATCTAATCCCCAAAAGTCAGAGGTGTGGGGGGGCTTTTGCAGGCCTTCTTGTCTAATACGCTTATTCTTTGGATGGAGAAACTGAGGCTCTTGAGGGGAAGGGATTTGTCACACAGCAAGTAGGCAGCAGACCCAGGTCTATGGCAGGCAGAACCCAGAAGTGACTCTTCTCTCAAGTTTCCTTCTGTCGGGCTCCCCCAGACCAACTCGCCCCCAGCTGCCATTTGACTGGAGCCCAGGGCGGGGGACACAAGCCTCCTGCCCCTGCCTCACCATCATTGATTCTTCTGGGTGGGATGGAAAGGGTGGTTATGGGGTGGGAGAGCCAGGGAGCCCTGTGGCCTACTAGCCTTATGTTTATTTAGCCTTTTGGTTTGTCCCTTCCGGTGTCTACAGGCCTGGACTACCGCAGGCAACAGAGAGAAAGTGAAGTTTGGAGCTGCTGTCAGCTGTGGATGATAAAGTGGCTGGTCCTGCTCCTCCCACATGCAGGCCCGGCCTGCCAGTGCCGCTGGGCAGGTCAGCAACCTCCACACCTGTCCCTTTGGGTGGGACTCAGCCTGTCCTTGAAGGCTCCTATAGAGAGGGGCCCTGGGACCCTCAAGGCAGGCTCATGGCCTGGGGTTGGAGGTGGGGGAAGATGGGGGATGGGAAGGAAGGGGCAGGAAGCGATGGGAGCAGCTCGGCCTGGGCCCTGCTGAATGCGCCTAAAACCTAGACAGTTCGGCTGTCCCTTGCTGACCAAAAGCAGCCTGCTGATGTCCCAACTCGTCATTTCTGAAGTTGCTAAGCGTGTTCCTCTTCCTGTCTCCCTCCTTCTGACTTGCTCCTGCCCAGGACCCCTTCATGCCAGTAGGACAAGGACCTTCTGCCTCAACCTGGACATGAAGCCTCCCCGGCTCAGCTCTACCTGGTCTCTCTGGCTTCAGCCAGCTGTGTGGCTCCCCAGGCACATGCAACGCTGTGCAGGCAGTTCCCCGGCCTGAGGCCCCTCTCTGTCGCCCATGTGTACAGTCCATCCGCCCTGCAAGGCCTGAGCTCAGATTTCCATGTCCACCATCTCCTGTCTCCCCGGCATTAGGGGAGGGGCATTCCACTGAAGCTCTTCATAGGCCCTGTGGTGGACAGGCCTCCTAGAGGATGCTGGGAATTCCCACCCAGATCCTCCTCTTCCCATGCTTGCTGTGATCTTCCAAGGGAGGGGAGGGCAGGGGGAAACCAGAGCAGCCTGGGAGGAGTTGGGAGAGGAGACAGTGTGGCCTAGTAATTAAGAGCGTGAGCTCAGAAGCCGGACAGCCTGAGCTTGAATCCCAACGCTAAGGCTTTTTGGCTGTGTGATCTTGGGCTAGTTACCTAACCTCTCTGAGCTCCAGTTTCCATATCTGCATAAAGGGGATGACAACAGTACCTAGCTCTAAGTGGTGCAGGGTCACAGGCTGGGCACCAGCTCTCACTGACTCGTACTGCCCTCCCCCCACCGCCGCGCCCGGCTTCCTTCTCTGACTTTTGCTGCAGCAAGGTCTATAAATTGGCCACGTTTTTCCGTCAGCTCCGGTCCTTTTCTGTATGCTGTTCTCTCCGCCCGGAATGCCTTTTGGGCCTTATCCACCTTTTTTGGCCTTATGCCACTTCTCGCCCTAAAGACTCAGGTCACCTCCGGGAAGCCTTCCTTGATATTCCCTACTGTCCTCTCCACCAGGCCTGGCTCAAGGCTCCTTCTCTGAGCTTCCCAAACATCCCTGGGCACCCGATGGCAGCGGAAGGAGGGCTCACAGTAACCGGGCAGAGGCCCGAGTCCCTGGTTCCTGAAGAGGAGGTGAAGGTGATTCGGGCTGAGCGGGACCCTCTGGAAGCCCCCTTCTTCCTGCCCCAGCTTTATTTTGGTTCTAGAATCATTCCAGTCAGCACGCTCGGTCCCATCACACCCATCCCGGGTGCACAGTCAACATTTCATGCAGTTGAAGGAAAGAGGAGGGAGGGAGAGTGGGAGACATGGCCTGCGCTGCGCAGCCACTGGAACAGAAAGAATCCAGGGTCCCCCAGGCGGCAGGGGTCCCCCAGCTGTGTCCCCGGGCCCTGTGCTGGAATGGGCCATGTAGACTTCCTGGTGCTGGCCACAGGGTGGACAGTCTGGCCTCAGGGCTGGGTCATGGCTGTGTCAGGTGGGGAGAGCCACAGTTTTGCTAGTCTCAATGCTACCCTGGGCCCCCCACCCTGTTCCAGCCACCCCGTCTTGCCACATCACTGGGGATAACTAGTGGGCCTGGGTCTCCATGGTTCACAAGGGCCAGAGGCAGCCAGCCTGAGAGCCCATGCTGTGGATGGCCCCATATATACTGATCCTCCCCTTCGCCCATCCCTTTGACCCGGCAGGGACACCCACCCCTCATCTGGGGCACCCACCCTTCAGTTTTGAAGGGTGCACAGCTGCCAGCTTCTCTGGGGCTGCCTTTGGTGGATGGGAGCTGCCTCAGCCAAGGATCCCTCCTCCAACGGAGGTGGATAGTAGCCTAAGATGATGCATGTGAGGATGTAAGGGCCCAGCCCTTTGCTTCTGGGCAAGCCCCTCTGGGGTGCTGCTACTACCACTCCGAGCTGCCCACGCCACCGGCTGAAGCTCTACTCTCTTGAAGCCATGACTTGCTCGCTGCACCCAGGCTTCCCTGTCCCTTGAGGTGTCCCCCGAAGGCCCTCCGCCACAGACCGCTTGCCCGAGAAGCCGCATCTCAGGGCTGCTCTGGGAACTCGCCCTAGGACTCCCTGTGTCCTAGGGGTTTGAACCATGCCCCAGAATCACCTCTTTCCCATTCTGACCCCCTTGACTGTCTCTCACTGCCACTGCTCAGGCTGCCCCCCCCTCCCAGGCCAAGCCCAAGGGCCTCCTGCTCCACCACCTCCTCCCAGGGGCCTGCAGCCCCTGAGCCCCTCCCACAGACCCCTGCGGTCTATACGCTGACCACCCCACTGCCCGCCAGGCATCTCTCTTCCCCACAGGGCCTGGCCTGGAAGGACTCTGACAAACGCCATGGAGCCAATGCTTGGTTTGCACAGGACTGAACACAAGGGTCTGGTCTGGGCCTCCGTGGACAGGGCCTTGTAAGGGTTATGGCTCAAGGGAGTAGATTTCATAATGACTCTGGAGCCAGTGACCCATGTGGCCTGCAGGCCTCTGTTTGGCCTGGTCTCTCTGTCTCCTCTGGCCAGAGAGAGGCCCTTGTGTCCACTGCAGTGGGCTGAGGATTGTGTTTGTACAGGGAAGTTCATGTCCCCACCATGCTCAGGCTGGGCTGCCTGCCTGGGACACTCAGTTCTTTTCTTGCCTCTCAAACCACAACTCCCATCTTATCCTCCAGCCCCCAGAACCCCCACCCCCCGAGTCTGCCTGGCTGGGCCACCATTCAGCACTGAGCAGATCACCAGGAAAGGGACGTCTCGTCTTCCCAACATCCTAGGGGCTGTGTTTTGTTCATGTCACTCCTGCTGATGTCCGCCACGGCACCTGGCCACCAAGACTTGCTTGGTTCCAGTGCATGGCCCAGCTTGGCACTGGCCTTCTGGCACGGGTGGGGAATGAGGAGCTCTGGGAGGCCAAGGTCATCCCTAGGCCGAGGGGCAGACCTGTTGGGGATCTCGAAGTGGGAGAACAATGGGCCAGTGCCCAGCTGCCCTCCTGGGGCCTAGCCAGCCACAGCTCGTCCTCAGTGGGAGAAACCCCGGGTCCCTAAATACCCAGCCAGGCTGGCTCCTCGGCTGCAGTCTGGACAGAGGGACCAAGATGGCTCATGGGAACTCCACCAGGGAACCCCAGTGTTCATGGCTCCAGCTGGACTATGGAGAAGGATGTCAGAGCTGAACTTGAGCCAGGCTCCAGGCAGCTCCAGTGCCCACCCTGGCCTTGCCCCAGCTGCTAGTTTCGCCGGACGGGGTGCCACATGGACACAGGCCTGCGTAGCGTGGCCAGCATCTGGTTCCAGTGCGTGGTGCCCATGCCGCTAGCTGATGGCCCGATGATGACATGGCCTATGTTGTCCCCACGGCCATCACTGCTGCTCTCAGCCACCGTCACACGGAGGGACAAGTCCTAGGGAGGAAGTGACATGGGAGCTGGGGACCGGGGGCAGTGCCAGAGGTCTTCTATGGCTCCCGGGCCCCGGTCTACAAATGCTTGGCTCCAGTGGGGTGCCAGACACGGCTCCCTGAATCCTGACCTATGATCTGCCTAACCCCACAGCCTTCCGTTGCTGTCTCCCTACTCAGCGGCAGCACCAGGGGGCCCAGGCTCAAATGCTGGCCTCACCGTGTCCTTGCTGCGTGACCCTGGACAGTGACTTGAGCTCTTCCCACCTTAGTTTCTCCATCTGTAAAATGGTGATAATGACAGTTTCTACCTGTTCTGGGAACAAAGTGTGTGAGACATTTAGCATGGAGCCGGGACACAGTCAGAGCGTCAGAATGCCTGTTGCTGCCCTTCTAATATTATTGTAGGTTGGAAGGTGGTAGTGAGGGGAGGTGGTGAGTTCCCCATCCTCTGAGGCATGCAAGTGTCGAACACGGGTGTGACCCAGGTCATGTCCTCTGTAGTCCCCCGCCCCTTGGTCTGTAATATTTGTGCTAGGAGGGCTCTCCCTGGGGCACGTCATCTTCTGAAGGCCATGGGGCTGTGGGGAGCTCAGCAGGGCCTCTGTGCGTAGGACCTCGTGAGATTCAGGGTGGAACTCTGGGCCCTCGGCTTGGCTCTGGCTCATCTCCAGGCCTTTGCAGTTCCCTCCACTGGGAACTGTCTTCCCCCAGATGTCAGCTGAGCTGAGCATTTCCTGCAGAAACCTCTCGTGACCGCCCCAGTCTTAGTGGCTTGCTCTTAGTGGATTCGGATTGCCTGGGGACTTTCCTGCTTGTCCCTTGTAAGCACCAAGGAAGCAGTGCCCATATCCCAAGCGCCCAGCACAGAGCTGATATCTAGTGGGTGTTCAATAAATGCTTCTCGACTAGGTGGTTTGAGACAAACCATCACCACTTGCAGGAGCCCTGAGAAGCTAGGCCGCAGGGGATGCAGTGGCCTGAGAGCCCTGGGAGTGACCTGGCCTGGTCCCCACTCCTTTGTCATTTCCGCCTCACCTGGAGCACGATGGCTGGCACCGAGAAGATCATGGCTTCGTTGAACACGGGGTTGGGGTCATCCCTCTTTACAGCTGTCTTCTTTTTGCTCATCTTCCTCCCATCCTGCAGCAGGTACACCTTGACGTAGGGGTCTGGGCAGGTGAGGGGGTGAGGGTGAGGGCCAGTGTCACACTCACTTGCCATAAGCCTGCCTAGCCCCAATGGCCCACTGGCTCCAAATACCCCAAATCTTCACTATTGCCGTTAGCTCCTGCAGTCCTGCTATTGGTCGTTTCTTTCTTTCCTATTTGACAGATGAGAAAACTGAGGCTCACACGTGTGTCAGAACAGCTGGACTTTGGAGAGGGCCGCCTGGCTCCCGCCCACACACACGCTCCCCTCACATGACGCTTGGGGAGCTTGGCAGACCCTCCACTTTTCATTCTATAAATGGCCCGAGTGCAGACGTCAGCTCTGAGTCACCCGGCGCCCGCTCAGCGGGGCCTGACTCAACAACATGGGGCTCTGAAATAACAAGTCACCGTCTGCTCATCTGCTCATCTGCTCGTCCATCACCTACCGCCCACTGGGTGTCCTTGCTGTGCCTGCCTGGACCCTGGGATCCCCCAGGCTCCAGAAGGTTGGGTACCCCCAGCCCTCTGTCTTCAGTTACCCGGGGCTGGAGGCTCCTGCAGACCTGGGGCATCGGGTCCTGCCTGGTCCCCATGTGGGATCTGGGATGCAGTCCAACCTCTGGGAGCAGAGCTTCCACCATGAATTCCAAAGTGGGAAGAGGGTACCCACTTTGGTTTCTTCCCAGTGCCCCAGGCGTCAGCGCTGCCTTCTGCTCTCAGAATCCTCCCCACCCCCGTCCGGAGGGGCTCCCTGCTCCACTCTGTGGCTTCTGTGTTTCCCCAGCTAGGTTAATCTTCCTACTGTGCATGGCTCCTGAGCTTAGCCAAAGCAAGGCTTGGGGGCCTGGCACTGTGCCCCACACTTGCTGATGCCTCCAGGTACCCAGGGCGTAGCAGCTGGGCCGCAGCTCCCACCAGCTGTATGGAGGAGCCAGGCAGCCAGCGAGGCCTTACCCGCTGTGGCCTTGTCATGGGTCCAGAGGAGATTCTTGGCCTTCACTACTACCACAGTCAGGCGCTCGGCCGTGGGGAGGTAGCTGAGGGATAGCAGGATCTCACCCACAGCGTCAGCGGCCTGGAAGACAGGAGAGTGGCTTAGAGGACTTCTGCCCCCTGGACTTGAGGGGTCCAGGTAAAGGCAGAAGCTTCCTTCTCTGTTGAGAAGTTGCTGCTCTTGGGGCCCCTTACACCAGGGCACCAGGCTGATGAGGCCGAGACAGGGGCACCCCCCACAACTCCATGGAGCATGCACCACCCCTCCCTCCCACTGGGTGTGGGTCCTGCCTTGCAGGAGGGCCAAGGGTTGCCTGTCAAATGTAGCATCCAAATGTGGTTATGTCCCCTTGTTCCAGGAAAACACTCTGTGGGGGTGTTGTACAGAGGTCCACGTGGATGGGAGTTAGTAGATCGTTTGCTTAAATAACAATGATGCTCCCCAAACACTCCTCTATTTATAAAGGTCAACTTCGTCATGGCCTGTGTCTGAAATAACTCACGTTAGGGCCAGAGGAGTGTGCCCCTAACAGAGACTCGAAAGGAACAGAGCTTCTGTAGGTTCAGTGGTAGGAGCAGCTGTAAACAGAGGTCTGGGTGGGTTTTGTTTGCATGCGGTACAGAGTCTCCCTGAATGTGGCTCAGGTCTCTTTCTCTACTATCTGAAAGATGTTGGTGTTCAGGTTGTGGCAGAGGACAGTGAAGTCCCTCCTCCAAAGTTTGTGTTACATTGGCTTCATGGGTGGACAAGTTGGCAGACTTACCTTATTTTGGTCCTGTAAGTAGAGCCAGCCGCTGAACGGCTGCAGCGAGAGGTCGAGTACGGAAAGCTTCAGCTCCACCACCCCTGTGCTAACATTCCGCTCATCTTCATCGATGCCGAACACAGAAAACCGCAGGCTCTTCTCCTCCAGGGCTGCAGGGTCCAGGGGGATGGAGAACTTCTCGTCGAAGAAGATGGAGTAGGCATTCCTTTGGATCTGCAGAGAGAAAGGGCCATGGAGGGTACGCCGAAGCTGGGGAGGAGGTGGCAGCCAGGGGCCTGCAGGCCGTGGCAGTGGAGAGCAGTGGACGGAGAGCCTGGAACTTAGGCTAGAGTCTTGGCTCTGCTGTCCCCACAACTTTAATGGTCATCCTTCCTTTAGTGGCTCAGCCCCGATGATTTAAAAGCCCGCCTGTCCTCCCATCAGTGGTGGGCGATCTAGTGGCCTGGCATTCGAAGCTTCCACCATTGAACCCCACCTAGGTCCCATCCTCAGTGCCCATGGCGCCACAGAACCCTCGGGATGCGCTGGCTGAGCTGGTCTCCATCTTTCTTGCACGTGTTCAAGTCCAGCCTTGGCCGGCGTGAGTACAGGTAACTGTACAGTTGAGAGCTACTGATGTCCCAGCCCCCACAGAGCCTGGCCCAGGACTCTCTGAATGTCGTGGGACAGATGGACGGACGGAATGACTAGGCAAGGCTACGCAGACTCTGCTTCGAAGCCGTGGGAAGGCCTCTGAGAGGGTGCACTTGCGGGCACGGCTCCCCCTTCCGTGGGGGAACTGCCTTAGTCACTGCTTGGTGATATTTAAAGAGAGGAGCTCTCATTCCTGGCACCTCTCCTGAAGCTGGGGGGCTGCCCAGCCTGGGGGCAACCGCCCACTCGCTGGATCGGCTGGGCTGGGATGCTAAGAAGCCTGCCCTCTCAGGAATAAATCCACCAGCACCTCCAGGTGCCCTGAACTGCACTCTTTGGTGGCTGCCTGGGCTGTGGGGAGCCTCCTCTTCTACTGCTCCCACCCAATCGAGGGCCCCTTCCGCCGTGGGATAAAGCCCACCCCAATCCTGGCCCGTGTTAGGCTCTTCATGATCTTTCTCCGGCCAAACTAGCCTCTTGGCTGTCCCCCGCCCACAGGGGCCCAGGGGCCCAGGGGCCCTGACCATCCATTCTCTGCATTGTATTTCATGAGCTCGTGGGCAGAGGAAACAGGAACCCTGAAGCGAGTCCAGGAATCCTGCTCTCTTGCTGGGGTTGTCGGGGGCAAAGCACGTTCCGGAGCCTCAGTTTCCCTGTCCGTAAGACGCCCTCGATCCACCTCGTTGGGGTAATGAGAGATTCGTGGATGTGCTGGGCTCCGGGAACCAGGTTCTCAGCACACGATGGCTGTGGTGGCAGCTGTCTGTCAGTGACTCCCTCAAGGGATGTGTCTGCAGCTACCCAGGGTGCTCCAGGCAGCCCAGCAACAGGCAGCCTGGATCTGGGCTCGCAGTCCCTCGAGCGCTTACTGAGGGCTGGACTAAGGAGTTTGCACGTATTAACACATCCCCTCAAGAATTATGACACTTATTTGACAGACGGGGAAACTGAGTCACAGAGAGCTTAAGTGACTTACCCAAGGTCTCACTGTTGGGAAGCAGGGAACTGGAATTTGAATCTGGACAGTCAGGCTCCAGAGTCCTGCTCCTAGCCACCCACGGAACTGCCTTTTGGAAGCTGAGCGCCCCTCCTTGGTCCCCACATGCATGTGGCTGGTGGTCAGCCCCAAACCTTTCTAGAATTAGGGGGGCAGGGTGGGGCGGGAGAGGGATGAAGCCCGCCACTGAGGAACAGCCTATTTTCAGTATGGTAAAGGTGACCAGACACGGGTGGGTCTCTGGGGCGTCAGAAGGACCTCAGCCCTGCAGGTCCTCGGGCTCCTGCTCTGGTCAGAACCATGGCGTGTTGACCTCTCCCACCTCCGAGGACCCCCGGCCTCGGCGTCTGGACCCCTCCACCCAGCCTGGAACTATTGGCCACCAGTGCTGGGTAGTAGGATGTGTCTGGTATAGGCTTTGCTCCCTCTGGCAAGGTGGAGGAACCTGTGTGGGGGCGGGGCGGCCTGATGGGGTGCCTCTTCTTCCCCTCCTGGTTTACCCCGACCCTGTCGCATTCTGCTTTCGGCCCCAGGAGCTGGCCTCCGTGGGCTGCATCAACAGGCTCCCTTGACCAAAGGGCACGGTGCCTATCAAAGTGGCTCCCTCCACAGCCCCGTTTCCTTGGTACCTCCCCGCCGCCTCGCCCCCTCAGACCAGGGCACCACGTGTCCCTGAGGTTGCCCTACCCCCACCCACACCATCGTTAACAGTCCTGTTATTAAGCTCTTCTCCAATTAGCCAACTTGAGTGTGTTATCCATTCTCTGCCAGGACCCCAAGTTGACACAAGGGACAGGTTGGAAATGGGCAGGTATCTCACACTGCATTTGTATGGCAGGATTGCCTAGCGTGCTGCATGCTGGGAGCCCGCAGGTGGTGGCCCCAAACTCCCCCTTCTGTCCTCCCTGTAGCTAGCCCCTTGGGCTCTAGGACCGGTATCCAAACCCGCTGCCCTCCTCAGATCCTGCCTGGCACTGCAGACCCACCCGCCTTAGGAGGACTCCCCGGAGCCAGAGCACACCTCTGGCCTGACCCGCAGCCCCACTCACCCGGGAAATGCCCACGATCTGCTCATCCGGCAGCAGGCTGACGCGCATGAAGCAGGACTCGAAGCTGGCTTCTTCCCGCTCCAGGAGGTCCTTCCCCTGCAGCACGGCCACGTGGAGGGTGTGGGAGGCAGCATCGTAGTCCATGCTCACCTCCACCTGACCCAGCGTGAAGTCCTGCCCAAAGGTGTTGCTCACGGAGGAGATGGAGTTGAGGGAATCTGCCGACTGGGACTTCCGGAGAGTCCCGTACGGGGCCAGGTCCAGCTCACGGCCCATCAGCTCCAGGGGCCCCAGCTCACTGATGCTCTCAAAGGTGTCCTCGATGCTGAGGCTGCCTTTGCGACTGGGTGGTCCTCGAGCGCTGGCCCGCTGGGCATTCCAGGCAGGTGCTCTCTGGGGGTGGGAAAAAGGGACATGGGAACATGAGAAGGGTAACGGTGTCGAGATGGCAAAGAGATGCGGCAAGCTCTGCTCATTTAAGGCACCTCCGAGTTCCCTTTTTGCCCAAACAGGGCATGCCTTAGTTTGGCAGGTCCTCATTTAATGTCATTTCATGTCACTCAGTTTTCTCTCCCTAACCAGGATGTGAGAGAGCTTTTTCTCAAAATGTTTATTTATATGAATTGAGTTCCATACAACATGTTCATTGCAGTGATGTTTATTAAAAAAAAAAAAAAAATAGGTAGCAATCCAGGTGTCCAGCAGAAGGGGAATAGGAAAGAATACTAGCGAATGGCTACTCAACAGATGATCGAGCAGCCTCAAAGGAAGTTTTCAAAATGTCTACAACACTGTCCAGCAGAAGGGGAATAGGTAAGAATACTAGCGAATGGCTACTCAACAGATGATCGAGCAGCCTCAAAGGAAGTTTTCAAAATGTCTACAACACGAGAAAACTTTCATGTCGGGTAACACACTAATATTCAATTTTTTTTCCTCTAAATCGACCTTGGGATTTGAGAAAACAAAAGCCTTTGTACCATGAGCATCTCCTGCATTGGGGTACAGTCTTCATTAACATAATTTGTAATGCCCGCCCCCCAGTTTTCCATTAAGTGGATAGCCATAATTTATTTTACAATTCCCCTACTGTTGGACATTTACATTGCTTCTAATTTTTCACAAATATAAATAATGCAGCATTGAATAGCTTTCTTAAAATTCTGGCTCAGAGGACAGTCCTTTTGTCAAAAACTTATTTGACACACGTCACCGAAATGCTCTTTGGAAAAATTGTGCCAATTTACAGTTCCCCCAGCAGAGTAAGAGATAGTCCCCTCTGAAACCCCAAAGAAGTGAGCATGTGGGACTTGTATCTGGTAACAGATTCTGGCTGTGCTCTCCGGAACTCTACATGATTTTAGAAAATTTCTCTGCCAAGTGTCAAATGATGAAACATTCAGCAATAGACATTGAGAGCCCTAAACATGTTTGTACTTCCTGATACGGTAATTGCACATCTGGGCCTCCATTCAAAGTACATATTCCCAGATGAAGACAAAGTTTTACATGTAAAACATTCACTGCATCATTTAAAAGGAGCCATTAAAATGATGTTTATGATGGGTATTCAACAACATGGGAAAAGGCTTCGATTATAAGTAAGATGATAAGTAGGATATAAAATTCTAGGTAGAAATGACACTCATTGTGGCAAAACTGTGCATAGACAAAATGACACCCATTGTGGCAAAACTGTGCATAGAAAAAAGACATAGATTAAAAACATTGGAAATACATCGACATGTTAGTAGTTGAAAAACAGTTCACAGTTGCTTGCCTCTAGGTGGTGGCCCTTTGGGAGAGGTTTTTCTTCTTATTTATATTTCCTACATTTTTCAAAGAATGGTTTTTAAAAATTGGAAGCATTCATTCAACGAGTATTCACGGATTACCCAGCACTGGGCTAGGTTGGAGATACGGACGAAGGTCCCTGCTCACGGGAGAAAACTAATCGGGAGGGAGCGAGGTGGGGAGGCAGTGGAGGCCGCCCCGAGAACAGCCGGGGAGGGCGCGTGTGCAGCTAGACAGAGAGGGCGGAAGCCTCACCTTCTGCTTGGCCTCTGCGTAGGTCTCGCCATACTTCTGCTGAAGGTACCTGTAGTCGTAGTTGGGGAATGGGGAGGGGCTGGGGAAGCTCCCCGATGTCCAGAGCTTCCACAGGCTCACGGCTGCAATTCCCAGCAGTGCCAGGGCCCCGGCAGCGTAGACACCCACCTCCCAGTCGGGGGGGCTCTTGATGACTGCAAGGCAAGAGCGGCCTCTCATTAGTGGGCCCTGGGGTTCCTCGGCGGTTACGATCCTCCACCCATGGAGTACAGACTTACGTATTCATTGAATGAGTATTTATTGGGTGCCCACTATGTGATAGGCTAGGGGCTTGGGATCCAGTGTTGAACAAGAATATGCTCTTACGATTTCTGCTTCTATCCCCTTTTCCATAAAAACAAACATTTCTACCAGGAATGACATCTGGCGAGAGCAGATGAAGAGCTGAGAACAATGGTTAATATTCATTAGGCTTTAAATAAACAGGGTTGTTGTCGCCCGAGTTCTCCGACCTCACAGCCTTCAGAGGACCTCTTGCTTCCAGATAATCAAAGTGGCCTTTTGGGGCCTGGGGGAAGAGAAAGGGGATTTGGGGGAGAGAAAGAAATGACCCCATTTTTGCCCCGAATCTCATCTAGAACAGCCCAATAGCCATCGATTGATGAATGGATAAATAAAATGGAATATTATTCAGCAACAAAAAGGCACAAAGTACTGGCACATACTATAACACGGATAAACCTTGAAAATGTCATGCTAAGTGAAATAAGCTGGTTATAGAAGACCTCGTGTGATACGATTCTATTTATATGTTGAAAATAGGAAAATCTATACAGACAGCCTAGTGATTGTCAAGGGCCGGGGGAAGTAGGGGAGAATGTGGAACATGAGGTTTCTTTTTAAGGTGATGAATATCTTCTAAAAATTGATTGTGCTGACGATGGTTGCACAATACAATAAAGTCCGCTGAACTGTACACTTTAAGTGGGTAATTTACAGTGTATAAATTTTATCTCAATAAAGCTGTTACCAAAGCAAACAAACAACAACAAAAAACAAATAAACAAACAAAAAAACCAATTCAGCCAGAAGTGAGAGGTGGCTGTAGACTATGCAGGGCTTGGGGACAAATCCAGATGCTCAAATGCTTTTTGGTCACTGATGAGTATATAACTTTCCTATTTGAGCCTTGTTGTCTTCAAACATGGTAATTAACTATCCTCTCAACCACGTCGGGTAAGTCCTCACCTAGCACGGTGCTTGGCACATGGTAGGACCATACGTGTTAAAAGGCAACCTGGCTTTACATCCCCCAAAAGCAGCCAATGAGGTAGTGGGATTTATTTTGCAGACAGTCACACGGTTGGCAGACACAGTTCTCTAAATCATTCTTAGTGTTGCCTCTACTCGATTCAAATGGGGAAACTGAGGCACACAGAGACCCTGCCCAAGGTCACAGAGCCCGGAAGGAAGGGGTGGTGCTGGGATTCCAGCTCTGACAGCCAGACTCTCGAGTGAGCAGGAGTCACCACCGCCCAAGCTGGGCTCACCCCGGGCAGTTCCCTAGTAGCAGGGTAGAGAGAGGTGGGGAGGGCATTGCAGGGGTGGAGATTTATCATTGCACATCTATTGAGCACCTCCTGTGTGTGAGTTCCCTGTGGAGCAAGTCAGCCCCAGGCCCAGCTCACAGTCTAGGGGGAGGGGTGGGCAAATAAATAGACAAAAAGGAGTGATGGGAACAGCCCGAGAGGGTCCTGGAGCTGGAGGAGATGTCCCTTCCTGGAGGGACGTCTAAGCTGAGGTAGGAAGGAGGAACACAAAGTGAGCCAGGCCCAGGCCCCAGGGGCTGGGAGTTTAGGGTGGGAAGAAGAGGGGTTTTGTAAAGCCCAGAGCGTTCAGAGTGCCCACTGGGGGATGGAGGGGCTCCTTGACACTGCTCTTGGACGCCTGCCACATAAGGAGGAATCACGCAGCCGTGGTGGCCCCTCTGGCAGTAGGAGGCCTCAGCCTGCCCCTGCTGCCCTGAGTCCAGCCACGTCTAGCCAGGGTCTACACTAATTCGCTCTGGAATGCACTTAGTACCTTATGAGGTCCCTATGGCCACTTTCTAGGGGAGAATGGAGGTTGGAAGAGGCTAAAGAACACATCAGCTCAAGACCACAGGGGTGACAAATGCAGGGCCTGAGTGCAGGCTCCTTGGCTCCAGGCAGGCCACCTAGCCTCTCTGGGCTCAGTCTCCTCATCTGGAAAAACGAGATGGGGACAAAAACACCCCCACCTGGTGTTTCCACCCCGGGGACTTGATTCTAAGGGAAAAAGCTTAGCAAGTTTTCTCTCCGGTGTGAGTCATCGAGGCTGTATTTATAAAAGCAGAAATCTGCAGGCAGCCAGAAGAGCTGACCCGGGCTGTGGTGCTGTCTTGAGAGGGAATGTCACTGGCTTTTGAGAATGACAATTGAGGTCATTAGGATGTCACCGTGGCAATGGTAATGTAGAGAAATGTTTCAGGCAATGTTTAGAGAAAAAAGTCAATTTCGAACAAGGTCTAACCACATGGTTTTGATGTGAAAATCACATAGCGAATGGACAAGGGCTGGGCGGATGGGGAGGAACAAGAAGAATAAGAAATAAAGATGCAGGGACTGGGCGCGAACCCTATTTAATCCTGACCTCGGTTGCTAGAATGTAATTTGTAGGCTAAATGAAACCACGACAAAGATCTATAGAGGACGCCAGGGCCAGCCCCCCACCCCTACCCCAGGGAAGCTGGGAAAGCTCTGGGAGTCTGGCGAATGGGGGATGGGAGGGGAATGTACCTGATTAACTGGAGAGGGGTGCACGTGAGGGACTCGAGCTGAGACAGGCACAGCAGGGCCTGGGTGCTAGCGGGGGCAGGCAAACGGGTGGGCACAGAGGCCTGAGGTCCCAGCAGGCAATGGGCATGGCAAGGTGGCAGAGTAGCGCCAGACTCCCCTGAGAGTGAGGATCCCAGGGGGCTGAAGGACTGAAGCCAGGGCTCTGGCTAGCAGAAAAAGGGGGCAGGACCAGGGCCATAAAAGGAAAAGCCCCAGGAAGTTGACACGAACCGATGACAATTAATGCTCATTTATTTATTCATTTATCGATACCAGCCCTGGGACTGTAGGGGAAGAATTCCCAAGGGAAGTGAGGTGTATGCGGAGACCAGAAATTCAGAAGAGGAGGAAGAGGAGGGGCCGGAGTCGTAGTTATAACAGGTTCCCTTCTATTTACTATTTGCCAGGCTCTGTTCCAAGCACTGCACGGGTATTAGGCCACTGAGTCCTCAGTGCAAGTGTGTGAGGAAATTTCTATTATTATCTGCATTTTATAGATGAGGAAGCTGAGGGCTATAGGGCATAGCTGCTGCCAGACAGCCTGGCTCCAGATCTGTGCTTGTAACCTGTCTCAAGGCCCTCGCCAGGCCGAGGCAGGGAAGTATTCCAGGCAAAGGGAAGGCATGAGCAAAGGCCTGGAGTGGGGCAGAGCTGTGTTTGCACTGTGCTGGGCTAGCTCACTGAACCTTCCTAGCAGTCCGTGAGGCAGGCCTCGCTGCCCCATTTTACAGATGTGTAAGTGGAGGCTCAAAGAGGTTTTTTCACTTGATCAAGGTCATGCCAGGGCCTGGGCCAGGACCTGGGAGCTTGCAGGTGAAAAGTGAAAATCCCTGGCTGCAGGTTGGGAAAGGGGTCCCTGGTGTGCCCCTCAGCTCAGCCCTCAGCCGAGTGATGGCCAGAAGCTCGAGTGATGGGGAAGCACTGGCCTGGAGTCAGGAGGCCTGGATTCATGTCCTGACCCTGTCCCTTACCGTCCCTTTCCCTCCCTGACCTTCCCTTCTGCCATCTGTAGATGGCTGGGGGAACATAAGGAGAAAAGATGGTGAGGAGTGTGTCTGGTGTCTTGAGGCCATTCCCAAGCTCGGAGCCTGCGGGAGAAGGTGTGGATTGTGAAGTGGGAAAGGTAGGAGCTGGGTCCCAGCTATTTGCTGTCCCTAGACTAGGTGACTTCTGAGTTCAAGGTCCCGTGGATCTAACATCGACCTTCTTGGATTTCCTCTCACTTGGCTACTTGACAGGCTCCAGGAATGGCCCTGGTGAGTGGATTCTGTGTCACAGGCTCTTCTTTAGGGAGCAGCGAGACATGGGCCTCCTGGGGGATCCCCTCAAGTCAAATGGAGGGGGTCACTTCCATGGAAGGAGCCACTGGAGTGAAAAGGTGAAGAATGGTCCCAGTGTCCCCAAGGCTGTGTGACTTTGGGCAAGTCACTGACAGTCCTTACCAGTAAACCAGGGCCGTTACTAGTGTCCCACTGACACCCCCACCCCAGGCCTGGTGGGAGAGTCCTTCGAGATAGCATGGTTGCCGCTGGGACTCACCGCTCAGGTGGTATTCTGCCACGTCCACGGCCATGATGCCCAGTGTGGCGGCTGAGACTGGAAGAGAAAAGAGAGTCAGCAGAGCGGGCTTCAGAGGGTCCCCACCTCCAACCCTGTCTCCTGACCTCCCTGGTGCCCATGTGCCGGTCACCCAGAGCTCACACCCAGCTGTGAGGGGGGCCCCAGCAAAAGTAGGTGATTTTTTAAATTGTGTTTTATAAAAATGGTTGTTAAAGCTCTCTACAAGTACTCTAAGACCACGCTTCGGGGTTGCCAGGTAAAACATAAGCGACCCTTGAATTTCAGATTTGTTTTTGGTATAAATACATCCAAAGATTGGGACATACTTATCCTGAAAATGTATTCGAGGTTTATCTGAAACACCAAAGCTGCTGGGCATGTGTTTGTATTTGCTCACCCTGGCGGCCCTCCCTCTCTCCCTCCCATCCTACCAACAGACCAACCAGCGGCAACTCTGTCACTCATTACAGCGGGCCCTAGGGTGTCCACAAAGCAGCCAAGGACCTGTCAAAGATGGACCGCGCACACGATGGTGGTCCCATAAGTTATAATGCAGCTGAAAATTTCTGTCACCCGGTGACATCTTAGCTACCGTGCTAAGTACAGTAACATGCTGTATAGGTTGTAGCTGAGGAGCAATAGGCTACCCCACAGAGCCATCGAGGTTTGTGTCGGCGTGCGCTGTGACGTTCGCGCGATCACAAAATCGCCCAGAGACGCATTTCTCGGAACACGTCCCCGTCATCAAGCACCCCATGGCCTTACTTCAGATGCTTTTAAGCTGGAAAAGGAAAGGCAGAGTTTCTGCAATGTTCTGTTTGCGGCCCTTTTGCCCCCACTGCACCCTCCGCTGCCAAGTTTTATGAACCTTTGAAGGTCTACGTTGTTCTAGGAAGGTCTGGAAATTCATACGAGCCATTCCCCGAAGCCAGGGACTGCTCGTAGTTTTATTAAGAAGTAAATCTGGCTCGCGGACATATGCTGAATGGAGGGGGCTGGTTGGAAAGGGGAGACTGGGATGAGGTGTACCGTCTGAATCCAAGGGACATGGAAGGACAGGATAACCCTCAGCCCAACCTCTGCATTCCCTCGTGGCTCAGAGGGGTGGCCGCAGACAGGGGAAGAGGAATAAACAGGGGAGGCGGGGGTGGAGGGGGTGCTTGGCCCCCAGAAAAGCAGGGAAGTGCTTTTCTGTTCCCACGGGCATGTCAATCTGTATGGTGGGAAATTCTGGCTCTTCAAATAAAAGCTAGATACCTGGATAGCTTATATGCAGTTTCTTGATTTTTCAAATGTTGCAACCAATTCACAGAAAATATAAAGACTGTCCAGGCGCAGTGTAAAATCCTGCGTGGCCTTGGCGAGCCCATTTGTAACTCCTTGAAGCATTCTGTGGGTTCCCTTTGGGACTGGGGTCAAATCAGAGGGTGAACATTTCCCTGGGCATTTTCCAGAATCCTGGGGTTCTTCCCAATCTGTGGCTCTAGAGTCAAGATGTTGAGGTGCCTTGATCAAGACAGGGTTAGCCAGCACATATGGGCGTACCTCAAATCCCAGGGCAGGTGGCCTTGAGAAGCAGGGCAGAACACAGCCCTGGGCGAAGCCCTGCCAGGTGCACCGACCGCTCCTTGCTCCCAACCCTGCTGCTGATGCCCCCACTCCCACGTGAGATGTGGGTTGTCATGGTGATGGGAAGGCAGTGCTAACGAGGAAGGGCTTCGCCCTGGATGACTCAAAGTGGAAGCTCATTCCTGGGACCCGGGCTGGAGATCATGATCTCGACGACTCGCTCTTTGCACCCAAAGGCAGCTCTAAGTACTTTGCATACACGTGACCTCATTTAATTGTCTAACAACCCCATGAGGCAGGTACTATTATCACCTCTGGTTTGCACAGAAGAGTCTGAAGCATGAAGGTAAGGTCGTTTCTTAGGCAGCTAAGAAACTTCAATCCAAACCGTCCGGCTCCACGTTCCTACCCCTGTGCCAGACTTGCAGGTGGGCATATGGTTTCAAAAGTTTCCTAAGAACCTGCAGGCTGAATTGGGCACTGTGTACAAGCCCAAGGTGGCCCTAGTTTCTGGCAGAAAGAGGTCCGAACACACGGAAACACATGTTAACGTGAGCAGGCAGGTCCCAGCCTGCCTCTGCCTTGCTGGTAATCGGATAATGCCAGCGGCTTTCTTCCCTGCTCACTTGGCACAAGCTGACTTTGGAAGAGTGAGGCCACGCTGGGACAGCCAATGCCAGCGGCAAGGGCTGGGTACTCCCCTGAGGCAATCACCTGAGGTACAGGATGAGAATCTGCTGATCAGACCTCTGGCTCTCCAGGGCTCCCATTCGTCCAAGGCTGGTCCAGCTCAGACCCCAGACGGGCACATTGCCCACCTTTCTCCCTCCCCTCATCACGACCCCCGTCTGGGAGCTGTGATTTCAGCGAAGATGTGAAGGACTCCAGGCACGCCCAGGCCAGAAGTCCCCGCAGTGGATCCGTGAAGGGAAGAAGCCAGAGCGCACTTGTCTGAGAGGAGGAGGGAGAGAACTGGGGGGAGAGTCAAGGCGCCTGGGTAGGTGGCGGTCTGAACACAGCTCTGAATCCCAGATCTTGCCCATCACTAGATCTGAGCCTCTGTTGTCCCATCTGTAGAATGAGCCTCCTGGCTGCCCTTTCGGCCAGGAAGTAAGTGTAGTTGGGCTTGGCAAATATTAGCTGCGGTGGTCTCCTCCTGGCAATTATCCAAAAGGTCCCCTTGCCCCTCATTTGAGCTGTGGAATCATGTAGGCTGCTCTGCCGGCCTACAGATGTGCTTCATTTATCTTAAATTAAAGTGAGTTGCCAACATTTAAAAACTGGGAAATTTCCCATTAAAAATGAATTTCTAAAAAAAAAAAAGAGAGAGATGGATTCCTAGCTTCCATTTAAAAGTTAGAAGATCTGGGGACAGTGGGTCTGTATTCTCCTCGGTCCCCCCAAAATAGCCTGAGCTGGAACTGAGTAGGCTCTGCCCCTTCGGTCAGGGCACTTGCTCTGTCTGCCGGCCGAGCACCTTCCACTCCTACGTTCACTGTCAGGACCTGCTGGCCCCCGGAAGCACCTCCGTTCATGAGGAGGCGAGCAGGCCTTCTAGATGCGCTAGGGGAGGCTCAGAAAGGTTAAGTGACTGGCCCAAAGCCACAGAGCCAGCAGTGGTGGAGCTGGGCCTGGCAGCCATGCCTGCTGCCTGGTTTAGTGCCTTTTCTATTAGTAGCCACAGCCCCCGTGCCAAGGACTTCTCCCAAGACCCCAATGGGATGCATCCTGGGACACTCCGCAGAGAAGGAAAGTGGGGCTCAGAGAAGGGCAGTAAATTTGTCACCTAATCAGTAAATAGAGAGCCAAGACCAAGCTCGATATGGCTCTGCCTCGAGCACCCTTCTTGATGGCTTTATTCCCTGTCCCTGAGACCCCAGGACTCTATTTCACCCACTACTACAACGACAACCTCATTAGGCTCTGGCTGGCAGCCTGGAGGTCTGCCAGGCAGAGGGGCTGCAGCTTTGGCTCAGAACAGGATGTTGATGAGGCACATCAGGCCAGGGCAGCCTGTGACTGGAGCTTCCCCATGCTTCTGACACACAGGAAATGGGGGACAACGGGGGTGAGCGAGAGCTGTCCCAAACCCATATCTGAGCTCCTCAGATCCATGTCCCCTTGCTGGCATCCTTTCCCACCCAATCTATTCGTTCTGGCCCCAAAGCCCCAAACCCTAACCTGCATGGAGTGTGCTCATGGAAAACAGCTCTAGGCTCACATCCAGGCTTAATCATAACTACCTGGCAATAGCTACCTAGTTCTATCAGAATTAGACATAATATATGTTTAGCATGGTGTCTGGCACACAACATAGACCTGATGATTGAATGGGTAAATGGATCCCCATTTTAAAGATGAGGAAGCTGGGACCCCTGGTCACTCAGCATTATGAGTAGCAACGCTGGGATTGGCGCCAAGTTGCAATGCATCTGGGCTTGGGCTCCTGGCCACCATGCCACCTCCTGACTAGGCTTTTCAGGGGGCGGAGGTGGGTAGGAAGAACTGCCACTGGCCTGACAGGACTCTGAGCACAGTCGAGGCCCCCTCCTGGGCTTGTCAGAGGAATGGCTTTCCAGGAATTTTGTGCTTCTGCAGGGGAACGGGGACCTGAGTCTCTGCTCCTCCCATCCCATGTCCCTGCTTGCTGTGTGCACATCACATCTCTGGCCAGCAAGGTGTCTGCTCTCCCTGCTCTCACCCTGAGGCCAGCAGGTAATGGGAAGGATCAGGGCTGGGGGTAGGGCAGCTCCCCACCTCTCAGGCCGCCAGCCTCTTTAGGATCCTGAGGTTTGAAATTCTTTTCAAGTGCTCCCCCTGTCCTTTCTGATATAACCACAACCTGCTACCCATTCCTCCAAGCCCATAGGAGCCACAGTACAGACCGCTAGGATGGTGGCAGCTGGCATTTATTGGGCACCTACTATGTCCAAGCACTGCACCGAGGACTTGCCATGTATTATTTCAGTAAGCCCTCCCTGCCGCCCTCTGACAGGGTAAGAACACCGACGGGCAGGAAATGACTTGCCCATAGCCACCAGAACAAGCTTGAGCCTCAGGCTGGGAACCCCCACCCCGTCTGGGAAGGTGTCATCTTGCAGAGTAGGGAGACAGAGGGCTTGGGTACTTGTCTTGACCCCTCTCCAGACTGGCTGAGCTACCTGGGATGGATCTGTCCCGTCTGAGCCTCAGTTTCCCCATTTCTAGTAGGAAGCACAACTGCTGTTGCTCTCCAAACCTGTCCCGCTCTGGCTTGGGGGAGGGGCCGACATTCCAGGGTGCAGGTTTCCCGGGCACTTTGAACTGGGGGTGGCCTCACTGGTTGAGGAGGGGGCCTCACAGTCCCTCCGCAGCCCCTGGAAGGGTGGTCAGCAGGTTGGCCGGCTCAGAGCTCCTCCACCCACAGGCCTGGCTCCAGGTTCGCATGTTCGAACCCATTCCCACCCCCCACTTCAGCCCAAAT